TTATTAATGTATAATACTATTTAAATACTTAGAATATGAATAAATTAAATAAAACATCAAAGTATTATTAATTATTAGATAATAGTTATTATAAAATAAATAACATTATTTATTATACTTGTCTTTTTATCTTTTTATCCTTTTTTTTGTTTTTCATTTGAACTATTTAATTCGTTCAAATGAATTATAAAATAACATAAAATGAGTGTGTGAATATTAAACTATTCATCATTTTTCAACCTTATCAATAATTATTATTTTAGATTTTGAGTTATATAATTGTTAATAAATAAAAACCAATTTGGTTTAACAAATAAACATGATAAAGAGAAATAAAACAATAATTAAAATAAAAAATTGGGTTTATTCAGTACTTAATAAGTTCAATAGATGTTATTTCATTTGAATTGTTGATATAAATGACAGTTGATTTGAATGAAATAGTTGTAGAATATTTTAATTTTGGAGTTACTAATTGGTGATGAGGGTGATGCATCATTTCAATTTTACTAAACAAAGATGAGTTTGATTGGTTGTCTTGGACTATTTCTTCATTTATTTGTTTGAAAGAATCAAATAAGAGAGCAGGTATTTTAATTCTTTTGAGTTTTTTGCAGTGATAAAAGCAATAATAATCGAGTTTTTTAATAGTCGATGGAATAACAATTTCTTCTGAAGAACATCCATCAAATGCTTTAGTTCCAATGATATCTACACAAGAAGGAATATTATTTCCATATCTCCTTCTATCATGTCTTGTGTAAATGATATGTTCTGATTTAATTCCAATTTCTTGTAAATCAAGATATTGTTGATAAGAAAGAGTTCCATGAAAATAATTTCCTTCATTAAATGTTATTACTTTTATTGGACATTTTAAAAATGCTTCTTGATGACATTTGGTTTTAGATGATTTAAACATAATTCTTGTCAATGAATAACATTTTGAAAATGATAAACTTTGAATATGTTTCAAACGTGATGGAAATTCAATACTCTTTAATGAAGTACAATTTGAAAAACATAATCTTTTTATTAAAACTAATGATGTTGGTAGTACAAGATTTAGTAAAGAATAACAGTTAGCAAAACAACCTTTTTCAAGACATTTTATGTCATCAAGTTGTACAGAAGTTAGGTTTGTGCATAAAGCGAAACATTTAGATGGTAATACTTTTGATCTAGGGAAGAGTTGTGAAATATGTATTGAACGTAAAGAAGTGTTTGCAATGAATGATTTAGGACCAAAATGAATAGTTGATGATTTTAAGGATGAAACATTAATTTTACTTCCACAATAAGAATAAATGGATTTTAGATTAGAGAAAACTTCATTAATAGTCAGTTTATTGCAATGTCTAAAACATGACTCTTCATACTTTTGGACAAAATCTAATCCTTCTATCTCTTTAAGATTAGAACATGAAATAAAACTATATGCTGGAATTGTGGTTAAATATGATGAATATTTCACTTTCATAAGTTCTTTACATTTACTAAAACAACTCATTCCAAGACTTCTGATATTTGAAAGATCAATCTCTTTCAAATGTTGACATAATTCAAATGCATGTGATCCAATCTTTCTAACTGAACTTAAATTAATCTTTTCTAAATGAATAAGATAATAAAATGCAGATGGTTGTATAATTTCAACATCTGAAGATAATACAATTTCTTTAATTGATTTAATTCTATGTGCTATACTTAAAAAAGGAATACTTATTAAACCATTCACAATTAATGTTTGTTGTGATACATTTAAAAGACTCTTTGTTCCTGAACAACCAATATTATCAATAACTGTATTTTCTTCTTTGTGTTTTAAAGGATTAAATAAAGTAAAATCCTTATTTATTATATTACAATTACAATTAATCCCATTTAATTGAAGAAGAGTATAGAAGTTATATGATACATCAACATTAATTTCTTTTGATCCTTCTGAAATAGTTATCTTTTTTAAATTAGTACAGTCTTGGAAAGCATTTAAATCCATTTTTTCTAAGTATTTTGAAAGAGTAAGAGCAGTAAGACTATCATCATAAAATTGTGTACCTTCAATTTTAGTTATGTACGAAAGATCAAGTTGTTTTATTCCACATCTATCAAAACAAAATGGAGGTAATTCTCTGATATGATGTCCAAGAATAACACTATTAACAGTATTGAATTTAAAACACTCTCTTGAAAGTCCATAAAAATTAGAAACATCAACAATATCAATTGGTTTAACGTTTGTAGAAAACCCAAAATAAATAACATCTCCTTTTTCTTTATGAAAGTCTTTCATTTGAGTATAACTCAAATAAAGTCTTTTAAATATTGGTCGTAGAGAATAATAAATTTTATAATATTGAACTGTTTTTAATCCACATCCATACCAAACTATGTATTTACTCATTCCATTTATCAACTCATCATATCTACTATATAAAAATTGACTTTCAATATTAACAAATAACTTTTTACTTTGTTTGTTTATTGAAATTGGATTATAATGAAACATCGCTGGTATTTCTTTAAATTTGGAATTTATTAAAATAATATTCAAATAATCTTTTACTGTTTGTAAATATTTACAAACCACCATTAAGTGGTATCGGTCAAGTTTATGAATTACCATTTATCCTTTTTCAGATATATCACATAATCTCAATCTATTATTTCGTTATATATAACGAAAATAAATAGAAAATTCTGTTGTTAGAAAATAGAAATAAAAAAATCAATGAAAAAACAAAAAATCAATAAAAAAAGAACTTGAAAAAAAGTATATTATCAAATGAGATCAATTGTTCTCTTTTTGTTATTGTTAAGTGTTATTGCGGATGATGAATTTTATCATTTCAGACATGGATGCATTATGCACAGAAGAATGGTTAAAGCTCAAAGAATGACAGAAATGTTAGAAAAGAAACTCAAACAAACTAGAAAGATTGAACGAAGAATTCTTCATGAACTTGAATTAAATTACGAAGACACAGAGATGGCAACTACTCGAAAAGATAAAGTTCTTCTCCAACAAACAATTCGTAAGTTACAATTCCAATTAAGAAAGACTAGAAATGCTAAGCTTGAAATTTTGAGAAAATTACGAAAGGTTGCTGATTCATTAACTGGTGTAGAACGTGGAAGAATGATAAGAAGAAATAGACTAGAAGAATATGTTGATTATCATGGAAGTGACATTAGTAAAGAATATAGAAAGGTTAATAAACAAATTTATGAAATGGAAAAGAAATATGCTGTTGAATATGCTAAAGAAGCAGCTAAACTTGCAGCTAAAAATGCATATTCTCAAATTCAAGAAGCAGAAGGTAAAGATAAACCAAGTGAAAAAGATATAAAACATCAAATTGCATCAGCAGCAAAAGAAATTTATGAACGAGTTTATACTGAAATCATTCACATTATTAGAAGAAATACACTTCATGGTGGAAATATGAAAAGAATAGAAGAAAATACTATTGCTGAAATTAAAGTTTATATGGAAAGTATTAAAGCTGAATTTAATCATGAGAAAGGAAAACGTGAAGCAACTCAGACTGCTAATAAAAAAGCTAGTTCCACAACTTCTAAGTCACATAAAAAATAATAATATGTCTCAACTATAAATCAGTTTTGAGTAATTTAGTAATTCAATTAATGGTTTTCTTTGTCTTGTGGTTTATTAATATATTCAAGAAAGTCTTGATATAATTGAGGAAGATACAACTTTTCTTCAATTTGTTCTTGGCTTAATTTCATTGATGAAACTGTTGGAAACTCTTTTAAGAAATCAACAATAAATGAAAATTCATCTTTGGTCACTGATAATCGTTTCTTTACTGTTTTGACAAAATCCCAAAACAGTTTGTTCACTGGAGAATTACTCATTGAATCAGGTAAAATATCATTCAAAACATCATTAACCATGTCAATAAGTTCAACTCTACCTTCTTGGGAAATGCAAAATGATTTGTTAAGTTCTTTCTCAGTGATTTTTTCAAGACAATTATTTTCTTTATTAAGTTCATAAATCATTGCTTTTAATTGTGAATGGACAAACATTAAAAATCTATGATATTCTTTAGGGATTGTCTCCTCATAAAACTCTTTGACATCCTCTGAATATTTTCCAGTAAAAGGTATTTTTTTGATGATTGCTTCAATATTATCTTCTTTAAAAATAGCAAAAGACTTAGTATTTCCTGCATACGAAAGGACATAATTTATATACCCATCTTCAGACATGCCTAATTCTTTTAAGAATGAAGAAAGTCCATCATCTCTTAAAACTCCATTAACTTGATATTTATTGAATGTGTCTTTAATTATTTGAGCTGATTGTGTGTTTCTTTTTTGTTTTGTCTTTGTTTTAGATGGTTTCATATTGGTTAAATCAATTGGTGAATCGAAGAAGGCATTAATTGCATCACTTATATCGGGATATTGTTTTAAATAAAATTCGGCAACTTTTGCACTGTAGTTAATTAATGTCTTTAACTTTATTTATTTCTAAATCAACAAACGATGCACCTGTAGTTTTAATAAATGTTTCTATACTTTCATTGTCAATCTTTGGTTTTAAACGTCTTGGCATATTTATCAATTCTTTTTAAGTTTATCTTCAAATCAAGGTTTAATTGATAAAATGTTTTATATAACGTTATTGATGAAAAACTTAAAAGAAAGAACAAAATTATGAACTATGGTAATAATCATCAATTTTACTCAACCAACTTTCTTTTTATGCAACTGATATAATTTTAA